CGTTACAGTCGTGATTGAAGAGACGTTTTGACCGGACAAAGTGAAGCCCGAAGTAAAATTAGCTCGGCTGGAGAGGCTAAAGGGGTTTTAGCTCGGCTGGAAAGGCTTAATAACTTCAGCTCGGTTGGACTGGTAATCCCAATCATGCTGTGCAGATGGAATTAAGGGGCAATTGAGAGGGTAATTTTTGGTAAAAATTGGGCCGAGCTATAAGATGGGCTTTGTGGCCCAAAGTGCCAAAGACTTGGTGGAAAGGCCGCAATGTTACTCCGGCCCAGGAAAAGCCGCAATATTACTCCGGCCCAGGAGAGGCAAGGCTACTCCGGCCTAAGAGAGACAAAGTTACTTCGGCACAGTGACTGTAAAAGATACTTCGGTCCAAAGTATCTTTGGAGTTATACCGGTATTGGGGCTAGACCGGCCGAAAGTCGTTGGTTCGGTCTAAGACCGTACCATGGGTTCTACATGGAAAGCTGAGATAAGAAAGGGAAAAAACAAGAACCGAACTAAGGATGAGTTCGGTTTACTCAGTGGCTCTACATAGCCAAGCTTATTTCGGTCATATAGTAGTTCGGCCAAAGTAAAAACCATCCCACTTGGTTTAAGCAGTGGGGGAGGGTGTAAAAGGATAAGCATTATCCTTAGGAGTATGAATCCTAGGAGGACTCTGCATGGAGGAATAAAAGTCCTACTAGGATTGTACCACTGGAAACTTATAAAAGCTCACAAACATCACCTTGGAGGAGGTAATTGAACAGAACACAATTTTTTTGAGAACATAGAGCTTTGTCTATTTGTCAAGTTTTCTGACTTAGGCATCGGAGAGGTTTCCGGCACACACCCGCCGGCTAGCTCACGTTTGTGCTTTCAGGTGACAAAGCGACGTCGTACGGAGGAGCGTGGACTTGGTCAACAGGATTATACGAGGAGAATTATTTCTTCCCCGTACACCACTCTCTTACAATATTATGGTGATGACATTCTATTTGAGACTCGACTCACATTGGTTTTACTGGACACTTTGTTTTTTTAGTAAGTTTTGCTGGAGCATGTCAGTACCAGAATTGATCATAGAATTGATTTTACTATAATTTTCATCTTAGCCTAATGTCTTATAAACCTCCTGAAATTTGGAGCCAATTATTGAATGTTTTACCTCACAAATTGGCCCCTACTTTTGGTCACTGGAGTATTTTCGAACCATTTATGCAGGAAGTGTAACATACAAAGCTGATACAAACCCTTTAATGTGTATCTACTGTTTGCACAGAACACATTTATAATTGCACAGAACACATTCATAATATCATATTTCTGAAAAATGTGTTTTGAGGAACACATTTATAAGATTATATACAGACATTTCACAGAGACTGGTCAATGTATATATGTATGAAAACGAGAGAGAGACAGAGACAGAGACAGAATGAGGGAATATCATTACGTGCAAAAATGCGATCGAAGATCAGTAGACCGAGAGACAAAAACAGCGAGAAGTTGCCGGAGAGTTATGGCCGTCAACGGAGGAGAGCTATGGCGGATGGACGAGGGAAGCGGGAAGAGGGACAGGGGCAGACGGAGGAGGGGAATAAAGATTTAGGGCTTCCTACTTATTTCCCTCTTATTTTTTTGTTTTTGTTTTTTATTTTTTTTTGTTTCACAGGTGCGTGTATCACACCTTATTACAGTGCAATTGTTCTTCACATGGCTATCGGAAGGTGCCAGCTCAGTGGGGGTGCTGGGGGTGGTTTTGAGTAGGGGTCTGTATTAGCTTTGGTTTAGCGACCCTGAGTAGTTCAATTTAATTTTTCAATTTCAATGTAATTTTTTGTGCATTAGTGTGGGTCTACAATGAATTGGTAATGTGGAATGTATTTTTTTTTAGTTAGTTTTTATTTGATTTTACAAATTAGCGGTGTTATATATACCAATTGATATATTAATTAATGTATTAACTTATGTTATGATATTATCACTTTAAAATTATAAAATCCACCTATCATACAAAGTAAAAAATTTAAATTTTTTAAAATTATGTCATGTTATCTATTGATATACCATTTTATTCTTTACAAATATAGAGCCTACACGTCAGGGGCTGGGTAGTGTTGTGCAGAGGTACCCATAGCGGCCCGACGAGCCCTTATTGTATGTTGTATATGAGGACGGGGTCTTGTAAATTTGGTGTAACCTGCCGATACAATCAGAGCAGGATCCTCTCATTGGCTCTCTTCTTGGTGGGTTATTGGACCCACTTTTGAGTTCAATTTTGATGATTTGAATCGTTCATATTTTAAAATTTGTCGAATATATTGGCCTTGTTTGGTTTGGCTTTGAGAATTTTTTTTTTTGAAATATGCTCTATAAACACCTTTTGGGAGTAATCAAACCAAACAGATTTTTTCATTTTTTTTTTTTTTTTGTCAGAAATGTGTTTAGTTGACTTTTTTCAAGATAACTTTTTGAAACATGTTTGCAAATACATTTTCAAAAAAAATTCTTAGAAATCCATTTGGTTGGTTTTTTTTAGGAAAAAAAATACAAACACCCCAAATTAAGTAAAAAAAATCTACAAAAAAAGCAAAAAATGATATAAAATAAATTCCAATGTTATATATAATTGGATATTTCCATTTTTAAACATACTTGAATTTTTTTCATTTTTAATACATCATTTTCATATTTTATATATAATCAACATTTTTTGCCGTTTCTATATGTAATTATTTTTTGTCGTTATTGTACATAATTGTCATATTCATATTTGTTATATGCATATTTTATATGTAATTAGCATATAATGGGGAAAATTACAATGATAATACATTAAAGTTAGTACCAAGACAAACCAAAAATTATTTTAGAAAGAATATTTGAAAAAACGCAAACCAAATAAGTTTTTGTACTTTTTTATCTCAAAAGTTACTCTACAAACACAAACCAAACACACCCATTATATTTGTAAAAAATCAAATTAATCGAATTAAAAATCGTTTATTAAAAAGAATTTAATAAATAGTTTTATTTTTTAATAAAACTATTAGTTTGATGATCCGAGCACGTGATTTTTAATATCTGATCAATTTTATTTTTACAAAGATGATATAATCGATAAATTTTAAAATATAAAAGATTCAAATTACCAAAATTAAATTTAAAAATAGACTCAATAATCTACCAAGTAAAGAGCAAAAAAAAAAAAAAAAATTCAAAGAGAAGATCTTTGTTCATACAATCATCCCCCGGGCGTCAGTTTGGTAAGTCTTCCAAGTCTCCCTTGTCTGTTTATGTTTATATATATGTTAGGACTTAAGGTTTTGATGAATGTTCTGGGTGATCATTTGGATTTGTGTCCATATTTAGGCCTAGTTTGGAAAGACTAAATAAGTGTATTTTTTGATTTTCTATGAAATATAGGTTGAATTTGGGTTAAGTTTAAAGTGATGTGTTAGAGAGATAATGTGACTTAAATAAGATGATGTAATTTAAATAGAATAATAATTTTTTTGACTTTTTATCTTTTTTCAATCATACCAAACTTGACCTTAGTCTGATCTCGTAACTACTTTGATTTGTATCTATAATGTTGGTTGCAGATGATCTAGTCCTCCCTAGCTTGCCAGATTACTGTGTCGTGACGGAGAGAATAATATGTCTGGAAATCATTCAACAAACTTACATCAATTAGGTCAAATTAGAGTCCACGTGGCAACCGCTACTTGGCAGTCTTTCCTGAGCGAGGACTTTCTCCTTGATTTCTCATTTGATGGGTTACTAAGTTCAGGTCCAATTTTAATAATTGGAATGGTTTATATTTTAAAATTTATCAGGTAGATTATATTTATAAAAAATTAAATTGATTGAATATTGAAAAAATTAAAAATCGTTAATTAATTAAAAAAATTTTAATAAACAATTTTATTATTTAATAAAATTTTTAGTTTATATGATTTTTGATATCTGATCGATTTGATTTTTTATAGATATGATATACATGACAAATTTTAAAATATAAACAATTTGAATTATCAAAATTAGACCAAAAAATGAACTCAATAACCTATCAAATAAAAAGTCAAAGAGAGGAATCAAGGAAATAATCTTTACTCATCTCGCTTGCCTTCTCCAAGCCCATACCCTCTTTATTCCAGCTAACCACAACCTTTTGTTATCATTACTCACCGAGAAAAGTTAAGGATCATGAAATTTTTTTCATAAAAATGATCATGAAAGAGTTATAATCATTGGATTACTTTGATTAGTGTGTGGTGCTTTATTCTAAGTGTATTACAAGGGTTACAAAGTTTTCATGATTATTTTCATTAAAGGTTTTTCATGATACCTAGCATTGCTGTTACTCACCACACTCTCTCTAACAATAATGTTAGGGATACTTACAATCTTATTAACAATCTTACTAACACATTCACAAGTTTTGATAAAATCAACCATCACTTAGTATGGAACCCACATTAACTTGTGAATATATTAGTAAGATTATTAGTATCCTTAGCATTTTTCCAATCTCCGATCCCACACTTCTCACCTCATGTATAGAAAAACAACCTAGGGTGATTTTGGATGATCTAAATAAGTGTATTTTTTTGACTTTTTATGAAATATGAGTTGGGTTTGAAGTAATGTGGTAGAGAGATGATGTGATTTAAATAGGATGATGAGACTTAAATCGGATAATGATTTTTTGACTTTTTAATTTTTTAGGCAAATTACAAACACCCCCTCGAAATTTGACTAAAATACAGATTCCCCTTGAAGTTTGAGAAATTATATATCGCTCCCTATAATTTATATTTTTATAACAAATTGTTCCATGAAATTTATATTTACATAATAAATTACCTCTTAATTTATTATCTAAATATAATTCTCAAAAAATAATTTATAATTTTTTAAATTTTAAAAGTATTTATAATTTAGCTAAATCACAAAAAAGTATACCTAATTTGTCATAATTTTTTTTAGGGACGTCAAACCAAGTACCGAAGATTCATGATCAACCGCGCAACATAAACAAACCCTTAACCGCAGCAAAATAAAAAGATCTACCCAGTTGCTCGGGTTCTCTACAACCTTCTCAGTCTCTCGCTCTCTCTCGCTCTCTCTGCCTTTTTACTCATTCATTGCTATTTTGCGCCGATGGAGAACGACTCCTACACCACGTCAAACCCGGACTCCAGCGACTCCTCGCTGTGGTCTACCGAAATCGACTTCGAAAACACGCCGCCACCGTCGAGCAACTACAAAGTCAAGTTCTTGTGTAGCTACGGCGGCAAAATCCTCCCTAGGCCTCACAACAACCAGTTAGTGTACTTCGGCGGCGAAACGAGGATATTGGCCGTCGATCGCAACATCAAGTTCACCGGACTCATCGGAAAACTCTCGGTCCTCTGCGACGCCGATGTCTGCTTCGAGTATCAGTTGCCTGGCGAAGATCTCGACGCGTTGATATCGGTGACGAATGACGACGATCTTGAGCATATGATGCGCGAGTACGATCGGTTGTTTAGGGCTTCGTGGAAGCCGGCGAGATTTCGGTTGTTTTTGTTCCCTGATGCGGAGTCGGTGGCTGCGGCACAAGGGAGTTTTGGTTCGAGCGAAGGGAAGAGCGATCGGGAGAGGAGAAGCGATGAGAACTTAATCGAAGGTTTTCCAGGCAATAATTACTACGCACAAAACTTCTCAGAAAAATTACCTCCGGCGACATTACGGGCTGCTCCGCCGCCTCCTGTGTCTTCTTCCCAGGGATATTGGCCGGAGAAGCAACTCACTAGAGGCGGAGTTTACACGGCGGCGCCTGAACAACAACAACAACACATGATCCAAACTCCGGCGGGTATGTATCACGCGCCGATGGGAAGACAGGTACCCGACTATGAGCTGAGGATTGTAAAAGCCCAACTATTAGGCATCCGTATACTCATACCCAAACAAATATTTTTTTGGTCTATAGTGTTCAGATTCATTCGATCACTTTTGGACCCACACCCATGAACTTACAAAATTTTTAAACCTATACAACCACTGTAGAGGAAGCCAACATTTGAACCTCCAATTTCATCTTCCTTATAAACAAACTTATGGATACAACTGGCTGCCCCTTTGCTGTCACAATTTTGTATGACAGTACATATAACTTATAAGACTCTTTTTTACCAACATGATATTTTGTGCATTTGGTCGCCAAACTATATCACCAAAACAAAAAAAAGAAAAAAAGAAAAAGAAAAAGAAAAAGAAAATCAAATTTTAAATGTGTTTTTCTTTAGTCACTAAAACAGCTCACTTGGTTGTTTTGGAAAGAATGTTAAAAGTTAATTTTTTTAGCTTTTTTTTTTTTATTTTTCTTAAAAAAATATGTAAAAAAACAAAGAAAGTATGTGACCAAAAGAAGTTAAAAGTCAAAAAAAAAAAAAAATTGGCTTTTAACCTCTTGCCAAAAGAGGGCTTATCGTACTACAATGATTAATTAGTTGGTTTACACATTTTGTTTTAATTTTTTTTACCATCTTCCAAAATTATTGTATCATATAATGTATCCTTCAGATTATTTTATTTTTTCTTGATTTCCATAGCTTTCACTTTTCATGTGAAATATACATTTTTTTAACATATTTACAAAAAGCCGGGAAGGAGGCCGAGTTTCTTAAAGTAGTCACTTTCTTTTTCAACACATATGCTGCCGGCCTAGACATTGAATTTCATTACTATTGCACTAAGCTTCACATCCCAACATCAAACTATCAAAAATATCATTTAAATCACAGAAACAACAAAATCCTCTTAATGCTTACAGAATTTTCATATTCTTATTTACTTCCTTTGGCTTTCTAAGAAAACAAATTTGCAATTGGCTTTAGCTTTATATATGCGTTGTCGAATGTTAAATGTACTGGAAGCTTTTGATTCAAAAGAGAAGCTAGGAGCAAGTAAAATAGCTTAGTTGGTAACTTGGTATATATTATCTAACTTATTGTATGATGCACGTGGCCAGCCTTAGCTTGTTATTGAGAGGGTCCTTCCTTCATTTGAAAGACTGAAAAAAAATACAATTCCAAGATTGCATATCTAGTTTAGTCACCCAGTGACATTTAATGGAAACCTTTTCACAACAAAGATACCATTTTCAAGTTTAAGAAACCAGAGGCCTTTCATTAACATGCTTATGGATTGAACGATATATATAAATATATATTTTGTCCTATGTTGGGATCTAAATTACACAAGCAAGAGGATCAATTTTCTTGAGCTACCACGTCATTGTTAGGATTGTTTTTCGAGTAAGTTTATTATATTATTCTAAAATCAATCTGTTCCAATTAAGGATGGGTATTTCTGACACGGCTTGATAATACGACTCAAATTGTATATAAAGTTAGTGGGTTGGGGTTGATCATTTCTTGATATGAATACAAATACGACACACCCAATAACATGAAAACTAAATATGGAAGGTAGAATTATTCTCTATAGGGAAAGCGAGATGACATGTCCCTTCCTTTAATTTGTCAAGAGAAACCAAAACGTCAGTGATCACCCTTGATCAGGATTGATCGGGAGGGCCATCCGACGGTTAAGTTAGAATAATGTTTGGCCGTGAAAATTTGTATTTAAAAGAGGGTTCTTGGATTACCTCTGGTCTGTCCTCTTTGTTTTACCTGCTTTGCTTTTTATAGGTTTCCTGACTCGAATCCTATCCATTAGATCAATGTTTGATCCGAGGGTTTTGTCTACTCTTGGCTCTGGTTGGGCAAGTGGTTAAGTTGCCTTTGCTTTTGATCATTGGATCGTCCTCCTATGGATGACTTAGATTATGTCAGATGCTAGTGGCCAGCTTGTCAAGTGTTTTGTTCGTCAGATCAAGTTTATTGGATGGACGTACCATCTTATAGGCTTGACCTATACTCTTGTATTTACTACTTTGATGTTTTTACCGTTAGATGAAGATGGATCCAACGATCCCCCAACATTCTGTTAATCTCCTTCTAGAAGGAGATCTTTGGCGGTGTTTGGTGGAGCTCTTGAATCGTAATTCCACATCGTCCTTTGAGTGCCATGTTTGGTTAGTGATTTTAAAAATTGATTCCACACTCACTTTTGAAAACATGTCTACCCGGTTATCCTCTCGGATGTCCTCCTGTACGTTCGGCCGGAACAAGTTTTTTTTTTTTTTGCACATGTTATTTTTATATTTTAAGTAAAAAATATTTTCGGAATTTTTTTAATTTTTTTTTATGAGTTTTGAATAGAATTTTGGATTGTGTATTTGGTTATGAGTTGTAAATTTTTGAATCAAATATCATATGTCACGTCACTCAATTCAAAACTCTTTTCAAAACTTATAAGCAAACAAATTTTCCACACTCAAGTCAGACTTGATTTTAAAACTCACAAACTCAAAATACAATTCTATTCTCAAATCATAATTCTAAAACTCTACCAAACGCGACCTTTATTTTTCATTGCTCTTCACGCATCCAACCACATGCCATTGTTCTGCCAACTGTCTCTAATGGAAATCCATCTGAGCCTTTCCTTTCCTTTCCTTTGGGCTGCTTTGCCTAATTGTTTTTGGGTTTGGGCCAACATTTTACCCTTTTACACTAAACTGGTCAGGTTTATAGAATACAAAGTTGATACAAATAATCTGTTTAATGAAGAATTTGTTACACTTTTTAATGTTACTTTCACTAAATGAGCCATAGCATTATTGGATTCCTTTTGCAACTTAATCAAGTTGAATAGAAAAGAGATTAAGTTATTTACGGATGCATTGTATATTCTACTATTTACGATCACCCAATCAAATAATGACACCTCAAAAAAATTGTCAATTTTATCAAAAACCCACGCTTGCACTTGATCATCTCCCTTACTTTCCTTGAACTGTGTGTCCCCTGTGCGCTCTCTCTAGATCTGTGATGTTCTTCTTTACCAACAATGAAGCAATGACTGTCAACTCTAGAAAACACCACCTTCCACCCATTGACCACTGCCACTCCCTTCGGCTCCCAGTAGTGAGACAATATGAGCACCATCGATCGACGACGACAAAGCTCCTTTGAGAAATCGATGTCTACGACTGGTGATCGAATGGTGTTAGACGATGGTTGATATTTTCTCCCTCTTCTTTGCTCTGCTCTCGCCGCCCCTCTGTTACTATAGACCACTGCCCTCTCTTCTCAAACCCACCACCAACCGCTGTACGAAATGCGATACAAAAGGAATTTTCATTTGCAAATTGATTTTAATCTAAAACATTGGTGTTGATTTGTTGGTTCTTGGTTCTGGGTTCTTGCAAATCAATTTCAGCTAATTCTTGATTCCTCAATCACAAACTTCTCAAATTACATATGGTAATGAATGATCTCCATCTTCTATTGGTGAAGAAATTTGTCACTTGGTTTTTTATTCTTGGATGATTCATCAAATGGGATACTCTGGTGATTGGTTCTTGTGGAATGATTGTGGTCTTTTGGGAGGATAGAAGAAATGAGAGAGAGAAAAAGAAACAATGAGGTGTCACGGTTTAATTGGTTGTCCCTATACTAATGAATTACAGAAACATAGTATATAATGCATTCTCAATAGAAAAGTATGTAAAATAGAATTTTAATGCTAATGTATAGTTTTTCTCCTTTCCATTTAAGATAATGTATTTTTTCACCTATTTTAGAGTCAATCTAGTAAAAAATATAATAAAATGGTATAGTTTATTTTATTTTATTATATATATATATATATTTATTTTTATAAAAAAATTGGAAAAATGGAATTGCTTCGAAAAACATTTTTATGAATAATTTCAACCAGTAGAGAATAATTTCATGGTCTTGTTTCTCTGCGTACTCAAATGTGAACAATTTTTTTTTCTCTCTCTCTCTCTCTCCTTTGTTTTTTTTCTTCATGCACATTTACTTATTTTCTTAGCGCAGTTGCTATTTCAATGTAAATTGTTTGTGCCTGTGGTCAAAATGCAATGTTTCATCAAACCTCTTTTATTTGTTTTGGATAATCTTTGCACTCATAGATTTTAACCGAACGCTTTTTTCTTTTTTTGGTATCTTTGTTTTAGCTTATACTTACCCATTTCAGATTTCTTGTTGTGTTTGGTGTTCCTTGGTTAATTTTTAGTTTTTTTGTGGCTTATTATGAATTTTCTTATGATTTCACTCATGCACACTTTGTACAGTGTAGTCTTTTTCTAGGACTGCTTAATATGTGTAATATAGTCAGTCATGTAGTATGTCCTGGTTTTGCAAATGATGGAACCATTTAAAATTGGCTCAATTCATGGTTTTAAGGCTTCCGTTATGGTTCTAAACCAAATCAAACTGAACCAAACCATGATATATTTATTTATCATTTTTAAATATTTGTGTGTGTGAAAACAATAGACTAGCAAGATTTGAACACCTGCCATGGTTGAGGAATTGAGTAATTGGTTAATCCTGCAGATAAAGCAAAAACGGCTCCCATAGAAAGTACATAATGGAAATGTGCAACCGCATAATACGCATCATGTAGAGCAATGTCTAGCCCAGAATTAGATAGGACTATTCCAGTGAGTCCTCCTCTGGTGAACAAAAAGCTGGATCCGACAACAAATAACATGGGTGTTTTGTTCCCCCCCCCCCCACCCCACATGGTAGCGATCCAACTAAAGATTTTTATTCCAGTGGGGACAGCTATGATCATGGTAGCTGCGGTGAAGTAGGCACGGGTATCAACGTCTAAGCCCACAGTAAACATATGATGAGCCCAAACAAGAGATCCAAGAACACCTGTACTGATCATGGCATAAACCATGCCTAAATACCCGAAGACCGGTTTTCCCGAAAAAGTCGAAACGATATGACTTATGATACCGGATCCAGGCAGAATGGGAATATACACCTCTGGATGACCGAAGAACCGAAAGAGATGCTGGTATAATATGGGGTCTCCCCCTCCAGCGGGATCAGAAAAGGTTGTATTAAAGTTTCGATCGGTTAATAACATGGTAATTGCCCCTGCCAGTACCGGAAGTGATAATAAAAGTGGGAATGCTGTCACTAGAACGGACCACACAAATAGGGGTGATCTATGCATAGTCATTCCAGGTCCACGCATGTTGGAGATAGTTGTTATAAAATTGATAGAACCTAAAATGGATGAAACACCGGATAGATGAAGACTAGAAATTGCTGAATCAACTGCTCCTCCAGAATGGCTGGTAATACCACTTAAGGGCGGATAGACCGTCCACCCAGTGCCGCTACCCACTTCTACTAAGGCTGGGCTTAATAGGAGCGGGGGTGCACACCATGGTCAAATCCGCGTGAAAACCGCGGGGCTAAATTACTCTGAAGTATTATGCTCCCGCATTCTGATTGATCCTGCAATGTTGTAATCCTGCTGTTCCTTTATCCCGCGCTCTGCAGCTGCTGGGGACTTAGTCATATTTTGAGCCTTTTGCGGGACTGATTGATGGGAACGGGCTTCCCAAAAAGCCAGCCCGGGCCGGGGTCAGCATAGAATGAAGGGGACGGCCCTAATGTTGTGTTGGCAAAGCCAACTTCTTGGGTTGCGGGCGGAGAAAAGCGGACGTGGGGACTCGGGTCGGGGCGCAGCGTAACTAAGAGAGCCATTCCATTTAGGGCGAGACAAAATGGGCGGGCACGAGCGGTCTGGTGTCCGAGCCTATTGGTCAGACGACGACTACTTCACTTATTAGATTAGTATTAGCCGCCTACCCCGGAATGGAATGGGATGGAATAGAAAGAACGCGAAGCGCTAGCACTATAGGGTCGGTTTTTTTGGGGGGGGATAAGCTTGCTTCTTCACAAGCTTATCCCCGCCCCGACCGGCAGCTGCTGGGTCTCCCCATCTCTCCTAAACTTCCCCCGGTCTTCGGCCCGAGCTGTATGAGGCAGAAACTCGTCTCACGTACGGTTCGGAGGCCGAGCCCCACCCCAGCAGTAAGAGTGCGGCTTAGGTCAACTAACACAAAGAAGATGCAGTTCACTCAACGATTGCCTTTGGGTTCCGAACTCCATATGGGGAAGGAGCGTTGTTGTTTGCGAGGTCTCGATCATTTACATGGACCCACTTTTCATTCCATTTGTGGGAATTTGATGATCTATAAACCGTCCTTAACGAACGATCGGCTCATGTTTGAGCATGATGAATCACTTCGTGCCGACCTGTTGCCAATAAACTTTCCGGCCTCATATGAGAATGGAAAACTGGAGCATTTTCTGCATCGGTGGATGAAGAATCGCGAACATAATAATTTATGGTTGACCATGTTCCCAGAAAAAAGATACTTTCGAGAAACGACGAGTACGACTGAAGTGGCTATACATACAAATCCATTTACGGATCTATATGCTTCGATTGGAACTGGAAGTTCCAGAACAGGCGGCTGGTATACCACCATAATGAAACTGCCTTTTCTTTTTTTTATTTGGATAGGATTTATGTTGGCTTCGTTGGGAGGCTCGCGTAGTTTGTTACGTCAGCTCCAAAAGGATAAGTTGCGTTGGAATCGAGAAAGTTCCGTGGAGTTCATAATTGCATAAAAGGAGTCAAAGTAGTGGCTGCGGCGCGTTGAGGCACTTCTTCGACGGTCCCCGTCCGCCCGGCCTGCCGGCCCGCTCTGAAGAATTCATGGGCCGGCAGGCCGGCGAGACAGAATGGGCGGGCACTACTAACCAAGCCAAGCCCAGTTCTCGCCGATAGGCGCTGGTAGCTTGCTTCCAAGCCTTGACTTATATGATAATTGTGGCTATGGCCCGAAGGAGCCTTAAGCACTTGTACAATGCTCAAGTCAAGGCTCTGGGCAACGAGTGGGAGGGAGCCTTGACTTTCTATGTTATTAGTAAAATGCGCGCTACAACTAGCAGCCAGCTGAAAAACGGAAGCGCGAGCGACTAGCGCCCCACAACTAGCACTTTTTTCTCTGATAGGCTCGCTTCGCTTTTCAAGCTCCGCCCCTTATTGAAAACTAAAGCGCTAACGCGCCTTGACTTTTTTTTTTATATAATAAGGCGCTTCTTTCTACTTTTTTCTCAAAGTCAAGCAAGAAACCTTTCGCCTTTATTGAGGAGATATAAAAAAAAGCTTACTTACTAAGCAAACGTAGGCTTGGGCTCGAAAGCAACAAGCAACGG